TCCTAATCAGCTATCTTGGATCTCTCTCCTCTTTTTTTTTTTCTTTTTATTTTCTAGAGGCAAGGCCTCACTATGTTGCCTAGGATGGTCTTCAACTTTTAAACATAAGTAATTTTCCTGCCTCAGCCTCTTAAAATGCTAGCCACCATGCCTGGCCTGATTTTCTAATGAGTTATTGGGTCTTGAAATGTTCATTTTAGCAGAAAATCTTGTATTGTCCCCTGGGGGTATCTCTTGTGTCTTCCTTCTTTGAATTTTCCAAGAAGCTAAGTTGTTTTCTAAGTCCACAGAAGGCAATGTTTTTTTACAAGTCAGAAGGGGGAAAAAAGGGAATTCTAAACATTCTGTTGTTTCCATGGATTCACTTGCTATATTGTTGCCATTGTATCTGGTCCTGCAATCTGATAATGATTGACTTTTGCCACCAGGATGCATTCACTGATTCAGACTCCTCAGTTTTCATGGTGATTTATACATAGAGTTAAAAGCTATGGTGTTTATCAGTTTTTGTACTTACACTCAGCCATTATTTTCAGCACCGTGCTCTGGGAGCCAGGCCTCCTAGCTTTATCCACACAAATAGAGAACAAATTGATTCTTACCCTACACTAAAAAAGTTATTTGGGGCCCATATGTTAGCTTGAATCAGCTTAGGCCTTCATGGTATGTTACCCTTTGAGATCTCTGTTGGTCTTTTCTCTAACAAATATTAGTTGAGATTGCTCCCAACAGTCGAAGATGTTCAAACAATGCTGCAGGAAGAGATTACAGGTTTTTTTTTCCCATTTGCTATTAGATTTGTATCTTGAGGCTTTTATATATCCTGTGCAGCAGCTTTGGTTAGATAGCAGAAGGTTCCATGTTATCTTTTCACAGAGCAGTGGGAACAGACTTGCAATTGGCTTCTCAAGTAATTCATTTCTACAATAATAAAAATCTCCCAGGCTACTTGTGTATCTACCTCAAGTTTTAAATATACTTTAAAGTTCTACCTCACAGAAAGCCATTCAGTAAAATTCTCAAAATCTCAAATAGGTGGGTTGGATTTAACAGAGCTAAGCTTCATCTATGACTCATGAGTATCCATGTATAAAACAGAGCTTTGCACTTGTTTCATCAGCACACACTTTAAAATTGAATCAATACAGAGCAGATAAGTGTAAGCATGGCTGCTGCCTAAGGATGGCACACAAATTCATAAAGCATTCCATATTTTGCATTGCCCCTAAAAGGTCATTTCACTATTCAATGACCAGCTCAAAGGGAGCAGTTTGAGTCAAACCAAAACAGGAGATACCCAATATTAAAATTGTGATTATCACTATAAAACTATTGATGTACAGTGATGTATGAAATGAGAACAGAGCTGAGTAATATATGGGATGTTACATGCAAATATGTTGTTAGTGTGTGTCTTGGAAATGGGAAAATGTCAACTTGCATTTCTTGCATAAACCTGGAAAACAATAAAAGTGGGGCTTTTTTCTTGTGTGTTAGTTGGAGAGAACCATGGAGATCCAGCGTCCTGGAACAGATGTGCTGGCTCAGAGTTTGAGGTGGTAGAGAAGGAGTGGTGGTTGACTAGTTTTGACATCTGTTAATTTTCTGCTCTTGGTGTGATTGATGAGCTCAGTAATAGGAGACAATTTTGTCATATATTTTAATCAGATAATATATTTATATATAAATTTAGTTATAAGTTATGAATTAGCTAAAATGTCCTGCATTACAAGCCACAATAAATACAACTAATAAACAAAATTAGCACTTAATAACATTTTATCAACACTTCAACATTTGAATATTAGAACCTATGAAAAAACACACATCAAGATTTATTTGGGACTCCAAAATAGTTTCAGAAATAAAGTTGAATAATAAATTGTTTCATTACTTTGCTATTTCTCTAAACATTTAAGCGTGTAATCTCATTACATCTTCCTAACAATCCAGTGAAGTAAGGTAGCAAAATCTTTATTTTTTTAGAAGAAACCGTGAAGCCTAAGAGAAGCAACTTGTCTGAACACAAATACCTATTGGTTACAGAGCAAGGACTTGTTCTGAGTGCAGGACACTTTGCACGATGTCCAGCCACCTACAGTTAATTTACTGAGCTGTGTTCCCTCCATTTATGATTACTTCATTTTTTTCTTTAATTAAAAAGTTAATAAATTTGTAAAGCTTAAAATTTTAAAGTGTATGGGACAGAAATTAAAGTTCTGGTATTAGCGCTGATATTGTCTGAAATTGTTTAAGAATTTAATATATTTGGTAAATATTTTTGTTTTTACTATTAAAATAGAAATTTTCTTTATTACTTTTTTGTCTCACTATTTACTACTTATTTTTTACATAGAATTTGACACCAAATTTTGGAACATAAAAAGAAGATGTTTCAATGCAAGAAAGACTTCTGATAGTAAATTTCTCAATTATCTTGTTGGTCCTACTCTTGATAAAAAAGAAAGTAAGATGTAAGATTAAGGTAATTTTAATGGAAAAAGACCAGATAAAAATATGTGTAAATTGCAAGCATGCATAAACACACACACACACACACACACACACACACAGACGTAAATTAATTTTCAAATTTTAATTTTTTCAGTTTGGAATTCAGAGTTATTTAAGAAGGTAGTTGTATCTAATTTATAATCTGAAACAGTATTGTCTGAAAAAATTGTTTACTTAATTACAATCCCTAAAATTCTATATAATATTTTTTGCATAAATAACAGAAAAGATTAAGGTAGTATGTTGATGTTTTCTCTGTAGTCACAGTATAACAAATTGAACTTGTCTTACATGTGGATCTTCTATTTCATTTTTATAATAAATAGTTTATATTTAGTAAATAAATAATTATAGTTGACCCATGAATAATGTGGGAGTTAGGGACTCTAATCTCTGTGCAGTTGAAAATCTGAGTATAACTTTTAGTTTTTCTGTCTTAGCTACTAGTACCCCACCATTGACTGGAAGCCTTCCTGATAACATAAACAATCCATTAACACCTATTTTGTTTGTGTTGCTTTATTATATACTGTATTCTTCCAATAAAGTAAGCTAGAGAAATGAAGCTATTAGAAAGAAAATTATCAAAAAAATAGATTGACTTTTCATAAAACATAAGTAGATCCTTACAAAGGTCTTCATCTGTCTATGGATTTCAGAGACAGAAGAAAATCTGCATATAAGTTAAACCCCTGTTATTCAAGGGTGAACTGTATTACGTACTAATTTGTGTCACTAAGAAAGTAACCATATTTAGAACTGGGAACTCAACCATCCCTTTCTCGTACCCTAAGAAAATGGCAACAAGAATGTAAAATTGAACCAGCGTGCACCCATACAAATTGGAGATTATCTTTTGGAGATACCTACTGAGTGCAGAAGACAGAAAAACAATTTCTTTGTGAGAAGTACAAGTTATGTTACATATTCTTACATAAGCAAAATTGTTTTATCTGTCATAGTTTACACACACGCACATGAACTTATAAACATACATGTGTGCTCTTGCACGTGCATATGTACACACCAATAAGTTAAAAGTCCTGCTGATATTTTTTGACCAAATCCGCTATTTGCAGGGAGTAGCAGATAACACATCCTACACTTTGGATGCTGTTCTTTTGACTTTTTGACTTGTTTTGTGATGAACTGCCTTTAATGAATGAACTAGGGTTTATAGTTTCATAAGAAATAAAAAGATTAGAAGCAAGTAAAAGGAACTCTATAATCAGTATGTAACTGATACTTTATTCAGTGGTCATATGTTTTACTCCAGGTATGCAAGTTACTTGAATGATGAGTTCTCCAGTTATAAAAGTTACATAAAGAATTAATTATTATTATGCTTATTTCAAGCAAAGCTTCATCTGTAATTATTATTATTATTATTATTATTATTAAGAAATGGAATCTCTCTATGTTGCCCAAGATAGAACACAGTGTCTGTTCAGTGGTACAATTATAGCTCACTGTAGCCTTGAACTTCTGGGCTTAATCAGTTCTCCTATCTCATCCTCCTGAGTAGCTGGGACCATAGTTATGTGTGGTTACATCTAGCTGAATACACTATTATTTATTGATTGATATGTTTGTTTTACTGTTTATTTTTGAAACAGTGTCTTCCTCTGTTGCCAGTACTTGATTGTAATGGTGCAATCTTGGCTCCCTGCAACTTCTGCTTCCTGGCCTTAAATAATTTTTTTTACCTCAGCCTTTCAAGTAGCTGGAAATACAGGCATACACCACCATGCTTAGCTATTTTTCTTTTTAAGGTATGTATGTATGTGTTTATTTTTTTGATGAGGTCTCACTATATTGCCCATGCTGGTCTGAAACTTCTGGGCTCAAGTAATCCTTCTGCATCAGCCTCCAAAAATGCTAGGATTTTACAGGTGTGAGCTACTGCACCTGGCCTGCACAATTTTTATAAAAAAAAATTAAGCCCCAATTGAGTTGCAGAAAATTGACTACCTTTTCATTTTTCTTTTCTTTTCTTTTTTAAGAAACATTTGTATTGTAGAACATACTTTCAGTCATCAAAATTCTCTTTTGTATTCTGGTTGAACTAGAATTGCTGCTTAATTCACATAATTGTCTGAAATAATTGTTTCATTTATTCCTTATATGGCTTTATTCAATTAGATACAGAACTACAAGAATCTCCAAGTCAAATATGAAGGAGAAAAAAGAAAATAAAAGAAAAACAGGTTAGGGAAAGTTATTCTGTGAAAAAGCAATCTGATGACAGTCACATATATTATATCAACTTAATAAAAACCTTATATGATTCATTTGTGTCAAGGGTTTCCAAGACCACACCCAGGTATGCTGATATACTAGAAGGACTCAAGGGACTCAAAAATAATCATACTCAGATCTTTAATTTATTACAATGAAAGAGTACAGGCAAATTTAGAGGAAAAAGATGCATGTGGTCAAGTCTCGAGGGAATCAGTCAAAATCTTCCAGGAATTCTCTCCTGTGGAATTACCAGGATCTGCTTAATTCTTTCAGTCTAACATTTTGGCAACACACGTGCAGTGATGTCTACCAGTACCAGAATCTCATTAAAGACTCAGTACCCAAGTATTTTTAAATGGAGGTTACTCTTCCTCACATGTACCCAAATTCCAGACTCCCAGAAGGAAATCATCTATTCAGAATAACCACAATGTTCCTATGAACACTTTAGACACAGTGAGCCATTTTTTGCAGGAAATGGTGGAAACCTTCTCAATTTCAACTTCCTAAACACCCGCAAAGGGGCCAGACTTGCATGCGGGTGTTTCTAAGAATGTCGGTCTTTTTTTTTTTAATGCATTTTAGGTTTTGGGGTACATGTGAAGAACATGCAAGATTGTTGCATAGGTACACATGTGGCAGTGTGATTTGCTGCCTTCCTCCCCATTACCTATATCTGGCATTTCTCCCCATTGTATCTCTCCCCAACTCACCACCCCCACCGTCCCTCCCCTATTTTTTCCCAACAGACTCCAGTGTGTAGTGCTCCCCTCCCTGTGTTTATGTGTTCTCATTGTTCAACACCAACGTATGAGTGAGAACATGCAGTGTTTGATTTTCTGCTCTTGTGTCGGTTTGCTGAGAATGATGGTTTCCAGGTTGATCCATGTCTCTACAAAGGACACAAACTCATAGTTTTTGATGGCTTCATAATATTCCATGGTATATATGTGTCACATTTTCCCTGTCCAGTTCATCATCGATGGGCATTTGGGTTGGTTCCAGGTCTTTGCTGTTGTAAACAGTGCTGCAATGAATACTCGTGTGCGTGTGTCCTTATAATAAAACAATTTATAATCCTTTAGATATATACCCAGTAATGGGATTGCTGGGTCAAATGGAATTTCTTTTTCTAGGTCCCTGAGGAATTGCCACACTGTCCTCCACAATGGTTGAACTAATTTACACTCCCACCAAGAGTGTAAAAGTGTTCCTATTTCTCCACTCCTCTCCAGCATCTGTTGTCTCCAGATTTCTTGATGATCGCCATTCTAATTGGTGTGAGATGGTATCTCAATGTAGTTTTGATTTGCATTTCTCTAATAACCAGTGATGATGAGTATTTTTTCATATGTTTGTTGGCCTCATGTATGTCTTTTTTTGTAAAGTGTCTGTCCATATCCTTCACCCACTTTTGAATAAACTTGTTTGTATTTTACTTGTAAATCTGTTTTAGCTCTTTGTAAATTCTGGATATCAGCCATTTGTCAGATGTGTAAACTGCAAAATTTTTTCCCATTCTGTTGGTTGCTGATTCACTCTAATGACTGTTTCTTTTGCAATGCAGAAGCTGTGGAGTTTGATTAGGTTCCATTTGTCTATTTTGGCTTTTGCTGCCAATGCTTTTGGTGTTTTGGTCATGAAGTCCTTGCCTACTCCTATGTCCTGAATGGTTTTGCCTAGATTTTCTTTTAGGGTTTTTATGGTGTTAGGTCTTATTTATAAGTGTTTAGTCTATCTGGAGTTAATTTTAGTGTAAGGTGTCAGGAAGGGGTCTAGTTTCTGCTTTCTGCACATGGCTAGCCAGTTTTCCAAACACCATTTATTAAACAGGAAATTCCCCCCCACCCCGCTTGCTTCTGTCAGGTTTGTCAAAGATCAGATGGTTGTTGATATGTTGTGTTGCCTCCGAAGCCTCTGTTCTGTTCCAGTGGTCTATATTTCTATTTTGGTACCAATACCATGCTATTTTGATTACTGTAGCCTTGTAGTATAGTTTGAAGTTCGGTAGAGGGATGCATCCACTTCGTTCTTTTTGCTTAGAATTGACTTGGCTATGCTGGCTCTCTTTTTGTTTCATATGAAGTTTAAGGTGGTTTTTTTTTAGTTTTGTGAAGAAGGTCATTGGTAGCTTGATGGGGATAGAGTTGAATCTGTAAATTACTTTGGGCAGTATGGCCATTTTCACGATATTGATTCTTCCTAACCATGAACACAGAATGTTTCTCCATCTGTTTGTGTCCTTTCTTATTTCGTTGAGCAGTGATTTTTAGTTCTCCTTGAAGAGGTCTTGTACGTTTCTTGTTAGTTGTATTCCTAGGTATTTTATTTTCTTTGTAGCAATTGTGAATGGCAGTTTGTTCTTGCTTTGGCTCTCTTTAAGTCTGCTATTAGTGTATAGAAATGCTTGTGATTTTTGCACATTGATTTTATATCCTGAGACTTTGCTAAAGTTGCTTGTTAGTTTCAGGAATTTTGGGGCTGAGACAATGGGGTCTTCCAGATATACAATCATGTCGTCTGCAAACAGAGACAATTTGGCTTCCTTTTTTCCTGTTTGAATACCGTATATTTCTTTTTCCTGCCTGATTGCTCTGGCTAGAACTTCCAGCACTATATTGAATAGGAGTGGTGAGAGAGGGCATCCTTGTCTAGTGCCAGATTTCCAAGGGAATGTTTCCAGTTTTTTCCCATTCAGTATATTGGCTGTTGGTTTTTCATAAATAGCTTTTATTATTTTGAGATACGTTCCATCAATACCGAGTTTATTGAGGGTTTTTAGCATAAAGGGCTGTTGAATTTTGTCAAAGGCCTTCTCTGCATCGATTGAGATAATCATGTGGTTTTTTATTTTGGTTCTGTTTATGTGGTGAATTACATTTATAGAATTGCATACGTTGAACCAGCCTTGCATCCCTGGGATGAATCTTACTCGATCATGGTGGATAAGCTTTTTGATGTGCTGTTGCAATCGGCTTGCAAGTATCTTATTGAAGATTTTTGCGTCTATGTTCATCATGGATATTGGCCTGAAGTTTTCTTTTCTTGTTGAGTCTCTGCTGGGTTTTGGTATCAGGATTATGTTGGTCTCAGAAAATGATTTGAAAGGATTCGCTCTTTTTGGATTATTTGGAAGTTTCAGAAGGAATGGTAACAGTTCCTCTTTGTGTGTCTGGTAGAATTCTGCTCTGAACCTATCAGGACGTGGGCTTTTTTTTTGGTTTCGTATGCTCTTAATTTCTGCCTCAACTTCAGATCTTGTTATTGGTCTATTCATAGTTTTGACTTCTTCCTGGTTTAGGCTAGGGGGGACACAAGTGTCCAGGAATTTATTCATTTCTTCCAGGTTTACTAGTTGATGTGCATAGAGTAGTTTGTAATACTCTTTGATAATGGTTTGAATTTCTGTGGCAGCTGTGGTGATTTCCTTTTTATCGTTTTTTATTGCATCTATTTGGTTATTCTCTCTTTTCTTTTTTATTAATCTGGCTAGTGGTCTGTCTATTTTGTTGATTTTTTCAAAAAACTCGCTTCTGGATTTATTAATTTTTTGAGGGGTTTTTCGCATCTCTATCACCTTCAGTTCTCCTCTGATTTTAGTTATTTCTTGTCTTCTGCTAGATTTTGAGTTTTTTTGATCTTGATCCTCTAGCTCTTTCAATTTTGATGATAGGACGTCAATTTTGGATCTCTCCATTCTTCTCATGTGGGCACTTATTGCTATATATTTTCCTCTACAGACTGCTTTAAATGTGTCCCAGAGATTCTAGTATGTTGTGTCTTCGTTCTCATTGGTTTTGAAGAACTTCATTTCTGCCTTCATTTCATTGTTTATCCAGTCAACATTCAAGAGCCAGTTGTTCAGTTTTTATGAAGTTGTGTGGTTCTGAGTTATTTTCTGAATTCTGGGTTCTAACTTGGTTGCACTGTGGTCTGAGAGACTGTTATGATTTCCATTCTTTTGCATTTCCTAAGGAGTGCTTTACTTCCAATTATGTGGTCAATTTTAGAGTAGGTGTGATGTGGTGCTGAGAAAAATGTATATTCTGTGGATTTGGGGTGGAGAGTTCTGTAAATGTCTATCAGGTTTGCTCGTTCCAGGTCTGAGTTCAAGTCCTGAATGTCCTTTTTAATTTTCTGTCAGGTTGATCTGTCTAATATTGACAGTGGAGTGTTAAAGTCTTCCACTATTATTGTGTGGGAGTCTAAGTCTCTTTGTAAGTCATTAAGAACTTGCTGTAAAACACACTGCCATGTGTGTACCTATGAAAATGTCTTGCATGTTCTGCACATGTACCCCAAAACCTAAAATGCAATTAAGAAAAAAAAAAAAAAACAGAAAAAGAGAGAGAAAAAAAAGAACTTGCCTGATATATCTGGGTGCTCCTGTATTGGGTCCATATATATTTAAGATCTTATTGTTAGCTCTTCTTTTTGTATTGATCCTTTTACAATTATGTAATGTCCTTCTTTGTCTCTTTTGATCTTTGTTGCTTTAAAGTCTATTTTATCAGAGACGAGAATTGCAACTCCTGCTTTTTTTTGCTCTCCATTTACTTGGTAAATCTTCCTCCATCCCTTTATTTTGAGCCTTTTTGTATCCTTGCATGTGAGATGGGTTTCCTGGATACAGCACACTGATGGGTTTTGGCTTTTTATCCAATTTGCCAGTCTGTGTTTTTTGATTGGTGCATGTAGCTTATTTAGATTTTGGGTTAATATTGTTATGTGTGAATTTGTTCCTGCCATTTTTATTCTAGCTGGCTGTTTTGCCCATTAGTTGATGCAGTTTTTTTATTGTGTCAATGCTCTTTATTATTTGGTATGTTTTTGGAGTGGCTGGTACTGTTTGTTTCTTTCTATGTTTAGTGCTTCTTTCAGGAGCTCTTGTAAAGCCGGCCTGGTGGTGACAAAATCTCTGAGTACTTGCTTGTTCACAAAGGATTTTATTTTTTCTTCACTTATGAAGCTCAGTTTGGCTGGATATAAAATTCTGGGTTGAAAGTTCTTTTCTTTAAGGATGTTGAACATCGACCCCCACACTCTTCTAGTTTTTAGGTTTTCTGCTGAGAGATCTGTTGTGAGTTTGATGTTCTTCCCTTTGTGGGTAACCCGACCTTTCTCTCTGGCTGACAATAGCATTTTCTTTTTCATTTGAACCCTGATGAATCTGACAGTTATGTGCATGGGGATAGCTCTTTTTGAGGGATATCTTTGTGGTGTTCTCTGTATTTCCTGGATTTGAATATTGGCCTTTCTTGCTATGTTGGGGAAGTTTTTCTGGATTATATCCTGAAGAGTGTTTTCCAGCTTGGATTCATTCTCTTCGTCACATTTAGGTACACCTATCAAACATAGATTGGGTCTCTTTATATAGTCCCACATTTCTTGGAGACTTTTTTTTCATTTTTTTTGTGCTTTTTTTCTCTAATCTTGCCTTCTTATTTTATTTCGTTGAGTTGATCTTCGACCTCTGATATCCTTTCTTTTGCTGCGTCAATTCGGCTGTTGAAACTTGTGCATGCTTCACAAAGTTCTCGTGTTGTGTTTTTCAGCTTCATCAATTCACTCATATTCCTCTTTAAGTTGTCCATTCTTGTTATCATTTCGTCAAGGATGGAAGTTTCTTATTACCCATTTTCTGAATTCTGATTCCGTCATTTCATCACACTCATTCTCCGTCCAGCTTTGCTCCTTGCTGGTGAGGAGTTGTGATCCCTTGTAGGAGGCGAGGTGTTCTGGTTTAGGGTGTTTTCCTCCTTTTTGTGCTGTTTTCTTTTCATCTTTATGGGTTTATTCATCTGTTGTCTGTGTAGTTGCTGATTTTCAGATTGGGTCTCTGAGTGGACGTCCAGATTGTTGATGATGAAATTATTTCTGTTTCTTAATTTTTTTTTTTTAAACAGACTGGCTCCTCTGCTTTAGGACTGCTGAGGTCAACTCCAGGTCCTGCTTGCCTGGGGGTCACCTGCAGCAGTTGCAGAACAGTAAGGGTTGCTACCAGTTACTTCTTCTGCTATCTTTGTACCAGAATAATACCTGCTAAATGTCAGTCTGATCAGTCCTTTGTGAGGTGACTCTTTGCATATATAGGGGTCTGGGAGCTGCCACAGGAGACAGTGTGTCCTTTATAGGAGCTCAAGGGCTGAGCTGTGAGCTTTGTTGTCCATTCAGAGCTGCCAGGAAGGTACATTTGAGTCTGCTGCAGCAGAACTCATAAAGCCCTCTTTTTTCCCCAGGTGATTTGTCCCAGGGGGTTAGGACTTTATTTATGGTATTTGTTGCATTACTGTCTTGTTTTATTTTTTTTCTCCCCTCGGGCTGTCCTGCACAGCAAGGGGGCAGCCTAGTCACTGCCTGTAGAGGTTTTGCTGAACCTCTGCTGTGGGTCTGCCCTGCTGCTGGCTCTGCCGTGCTGCCCTTTGTATTTCCCTGCAGTCCTGTTTATATGGGTGTGGTTAGAACTGCCACAACAATGTTGGCCCACCTCTGTAATGACTGACTCTCTCTGTTATGGTGGGTTGCCTTGGCAATGGTGGGTTGCCTCAGCAACAGCAGGCTGCCTCAGCAATGTCAGTCTACCTCCATAGGGGTGGAGTGCCTCAGTAATGGCTGACGCCCCTCCCCCACAGAGCTGGTTCATCTTGGTTTTAGCTGTGCTTGCCGTGAAACTCTCAACCCTGAGCATTTCCAATTGCTGTTTGTTTTTGTTTGAGTGGGAACTGCTGAGCCTGATCACCTGGCTCCCTGCCTCGGAGCCTTTTTTTTTTAAGTTGGACAGTTGACTCTTTCCCAGGTATTTCAGTCACCTGCTGAAAGGGCGCTGGGATCTGTGTGATTTTCTCTGCGGCGACCCACTGTGCCACCTGAAACAACGTGGCTGCCCAGCAATCTCTTGGCCTGCTTTATATTTGAGTCTTGTTTAATCAGATGAATGGGCTTATCTGCCTTCCCAGATCTTGAATTTCCAGTTTAACAGGGCAACCAAATCAGTGTATTTTGTATGGGGAGCCACTGCGCTGCGGCGCCAGCCAAAATGGTCACGCCGGCCAAAACATTTGCTCTGGCGACCCGTGGGGTTCCTCCACCTGGGAATCTCCGGGTCTTTGGGCAAAAAAAAAAAAAAATTCGTCTGGAAATATGACGTCTGTGGGGATCACTTCTACAAGGGATCCTTGACAGGACCCTTGCCATCTTGAGCTTGAGCCCATACACGTTTCTCTTCTCCTGGAGGCTGTTGAGCTAAGGGGAAAGAGGATGTCTGGTTGCACTGTTTTTATAAACATCTATCTTTGCCTCTGACATTTGCAACAGGATGGCTGAGCTCAGGCTTTGTGGTCTAACGAGACATTGTGTGGTTAGACATTGTGTGCCTTATTGTTCCTTCTCTGCACAATAACTGTATGACTTTGGTTACCTCTGCTAACTCAATCATATTTTTTTTGCATATGATCCTATATGAATAGGCAAGGTTAGAATGACATTTGGAAAGGTCCAGCTGTACCTTGTTAACGGTCTTACCTGCTTGCTTGACTGAATTTAGATAAACACATGCTTAGATTTATGACCCCCTTTTGCAAACTTTATTGTCCCTTTGTGGTACACCCTTTGATTATGAGTCATACTTTCTGTACCCCTTTTTTGTGATTTTTATTCTTGATTTTATTTCAAGATACAATGGAATGTATGTCACTCCTTAACATTGAAAAGTATATAACGTATGGTGTGCACAAATAAACTTGCTGTCCTGGCATTGCCTGACAGTCCTCCAGATTCAACTGTCTATCTGTCTTTTCTTCCATGCACTCCCTCTTCCAGGTTGAGAACACTTGAGTGGGGCTGAGGCTCTTTGCTGGTTGGTAGTTCCCCAGCAGACCTGGCCAGTCCCCCACTGGCATCCATTCACCCTCTGCACTTTCACTGGTAGCTGCAATCCTGATCTGCTCTTAACAGCGCCATCTTCCTTCCCCCCAAATTGATGTATTTTTGTATGCTTATGATTGATGGCTGTAAGCCCCTACATAGATTCAGAATGGCAACTAGTTATTATCGTGAAGACATTGATTAGAGGTTTGAGATATCCTGTCTCACTCTGCAGACTCTGGGGCAAAGAGAAAGCCTGGAGGTTTTCAGTAACCAACGGCGAGTGATTTACTTAATCAGTGGTGCATATGTAATAAAGATTTTATAAAGACCCAAAGGGACTGGATTTAGAGACCTTCCAGTTTGCTGAATATATTGAAGTTCCTGGAGGATATTGTGTTCTGGGAGGACATGTAATCTTCTTCCCACTTATCCCACACTTTGCACTGTGCATCTCTTCATCTGTATCTTTTGTTATGTAATTCATAGCAAACTGGTAATTGTGTTTCCCTGAGTACTTTGAACCATTCCATCAATTCAATTTAACCCAAAGAGGGAGTTCTGGGAACCTCAATTGAACCCGAAATTGAATCCAGTTTCTCAGAATTCTGGAGTTTCAGATTTAGGACTGATGTAGGGTGGCAGTCTCATGGGACTGAGCCCTTTACCTGTGGAATCTAATGCTCTCTGCTGACAGAGTATGAGAACTGAATTAGAGGACACCCAGCTTGTGTCATCTGCTGAAATAATTGCTTGCTTGTTGGTGGGGAAAACCCCTCCCCACCTTTGATCACAGACGCCTTCTTTGTAGATGATAAGTTTTTGTGTTGTGAGAGAAGAGAAAAAAATGGCAAGTATGTCTTTTCCACACATGTCGTGGATAAGGGAACTACTGTATACACTGTTTTAACTGCCATTCATATTTTGGTTCAGATATCATGCTTTTTGACACTGATCACTTATCACACCTGTTCTGATAACAATACTATTTTTAGTCAATCTCATATGGTTTGTGTAAGATGACTTGTATACTGCAGTTCACTTGTAGATTTCAAATTTTGATAAATTTATTATTTGCATTTAATAAATACAAAGTAAGGGAAGTAAGAATTCTTACTGCACTAACCACATACCAGTAGGCATAATTTATATTACTTTTAATAAAGTCTTAAGTATGCTCCCAAAGGAATGCTTTGTAACAAATCATCAGTCCTATACTTTAAAGAAAAATGGTCTAAAGCATGCATATAGGTGTGCAAATTTTTTTTTAATGAAGGTAGAGTCTTGCTATATTTTCCAAACTGGTCTCAAACTTCTGGGTTTCTCCCGTGATCCTCCTGCCTCAGTCTCCCAAGTAGTTGAGATTATAGGCATGCACGATTGTGCCGTCTTATGTTTTTAATATTCTATATATTTATTATTGATTTACAATGCATTTTATTTTTTCCTTTAATAGATCCTGGGAGTTCTGATGAATCTGCAGTCAGGTAGAATTTTTACAGATTTAAAAAATTAAATTAACTTAGGAACTATAGATGGAAGAAACTACTATCTGTTGAGTGTTGTATTCTGGGCTAACCACACTATTATGTGCTATGCATTCATCTCATAAAGCCATCTTAACATCTGTTTTCTTATAACCTACCATTTATTAAATCGGCAACTGTTGTTTAGAGAGGTTGATTAATTGGCTCATGACCCCATAGTTTAAAAAGTAGCTGATTCACAGTTAAACCATCAGCCTGCCTGGCTTTCAAATCTTTATTTTGCTCTTCAGAGTAGATGGATAAAGATCTGTGCAGCAATTGGATCAAGATATATGTAAGAATCAGATTAATAAATACAGTCAATTCTAGTTATATGTTAAAGTTATTGTTAGAAAACAATAACTCATTTAAACCTCATTTAAAGTTATTGTTAGAAATGAGGTTGGTCTAACAGTATGTCCTAATAAATCTGACAATTTCAGTGGTAACCAATATCTTATCTTTACTATCAAAGGCTTTAGGGCAGTGTAAAAGTTTGGCCATAGGATTGTAAATTTTACAAAACCAAGATTAGACAAGTCTTAGAGAGAAATTGCTTGACTTCCAAGTTTGGTTTTCCCTTTAGGCTAGTGTTTCTGCCTACTTCCACAATATTTTTCTTTAGTCTTTTTTTTTTCTGTGACATTTCCATAACTTTCTCTTGATGTTTTAAAGTGTTTTTCTCTGCTTTTGGTGTTTCTTTTGTTCTATTTTTTTTTCATATTCTGCTGACTATGTATCCCCAATCCTCCTATAGACAGTCAAAAGCATGCAGAATTTCAGAATTTTAAGGAATCATAGGACTAATTAAAATAACCTTTAGTACTTCAACGTGTGTTAAAACATTCTGGCAAGTGTGTTCCTAGATAGAGAACCTGGACTCAAATAGGTTAGGATAGTTTTCTTTTTGGACATAGGAAGTGACAGAAATAAAACTCATTTTAAAGCCCAGTACTCACCCTTCTTTTTTTATTTTATGAGTTTTTGTTGTTGTTGTTGTTGACAGAGTCTTGCTGTCTTGCCCAGGCTTGAGTGCAGTGGTGCAGTCTAGGCTCACTGCAACCTCTGCTGCCTGAGTTCTAGCAATTATCCTGCCCCAGCCTCCCAAATAGCTGAAATTACAGCCATGCCATGGTGGCTCACACCTGTAATCCCAGCACTTTGGGAGGCTGAGGCAGGTGGATAATGGGGTCAAGAGTTCCAGATAATCCTGGGCAAAATGGTGAAAATTAGTCTACTAAAAATACAAAACAAATTAGCTGGGCATGGTGGCAGGTGCCTGTAGTCTGAGCTACTTGGGAGGCTGAGGCAGGAGAATTGCTTGAACATGGGAAGCAGAGGTTGCAGTCAGCCAAGATCATGCCATTGCACTCTAGCCTGGTGACAGAGCAAGACTCTGTCTCAGATGCTGCTGCTGCTGCTGATGATGATTCAATGTGGGAGTGAGTCTGGTGCACCCAGTGGATAGAATGAGAATGAAACTGACTGTTAAACCCAATGGCAGTGGCTAAGAATGGAATGAGCAGGGGAAGGCCAGGTTTGAAGAGAAATAATACTTTGTTGGATAGAAATAAGAATTCTTCAGAAAGAGATCAGAATATTGAAGTTTATGACAAGTTTCATAAAGATAAATTACAAAGATGAAGAACACAAGATGTTGGAAATTTACAAAGGCACACTAAAATAGAGGGTTCAAGGGAGTTTTAAACATGTTGCTGCTTTTTTTTCTTAATAAATAACTGACAAACTTGAAGATTTTCACTGAAAGATGCTAAAACATTTTGAGACACCAGAAAGAGTCTCTACCACAGGAAGAAATGTGGTATTATGTGCTTCCATTCTGACTTACAGAGGGGTGGGTGAAAGCTTCTTGAGTACTAGGGGCTGGAGATCGCTTAACTACATAGATCTGTAGCCCAGGGCAGATGCTTCCTCACCTCTGCTTCTTTTCTTAATTTACTGACGACCTTTCAATGTTCATGTAGGCTGTCAGGGGGCATGATTTACTGGCCAACCAGTCATGAAGTTCAGTTGTGTAATTGGAGGTGTCTATGCTAGGGGCAGTTGATGGAGACTCCAGTTAGCTTGTTATTCAGGCGCAGGGATGTAGATAGCCACTCCTGGTCATTTGACGCCATCCTTTCAGGAATCTGTTCTTTCATAGATTGAAGATTAGAAGATAGGAGACTGCCATGGAGCCCTGAACAAGTGGAATCTGGAAGCCCATAGGAAGAAAGATATTTAGATAGTACTTAGGGAAATAGAGGTACAATTGCCAGGACTCTGTTTTTCCAGCAGTCTCTCTTCTTGAATAACTGAGTGCCTATGAAGGTTTTTTTTGAGAGAGAGTCTCACTCCACCCAGGCTGGAGTGCAGTGGCATGATCTCGGGTCACCACAACCTCTGCCTCCAGGGTTCAAGTGTAATAGCCTCCCTAGTACCTGAAATTACAGGTGTTTGCCACCATGCCTGGCTAATTTTTGCATTTTTAGTGGAGACAGGTTTCACCATGTTGGCCAGGCTGGTCTTGAGCTCCTGATTACTCTCAAGTGATCGCTCCTCAAGTGGTCTGCTCCCCTCGGCCTCCCAAAGAGCTGGGATTTTAGGCATGAGCCACCACACCTGACCCTGCTTGTGAAGGATTTAAGGGCTTTCTAGTTAATATGGACCTGAGAAAAGTAGGATGTATAGAGTGGGTATAATTGAATTTTATTAATGCGTTAATCTTTCTGGGAAGAGTATTCTCAAAGAGAACATACACCTTTGTTATTAGACATTTGTGCACTTAGCATTTACACATTTCAAATATTGCAGGTGATTCCCTGTACTGTTTTGGGACAAAGGAAAGCAATGGGACCTTCTTGAGTGGTTTCTATGCTGAGGAATCAAGACTGCCAATTTGAAGTGACACAGATTAGTCTTTTAACAAAAGATAGATAATGGACAAGAAACAGTGAATCTTTCTACCTTGTTTTAGGTTATCAGGTTTCGTCCAGTTTAGGTCACAAAAGTTATGTCATTTATTAGTTGAATTTTAAGTACAGCTTCAGGATAGATAATTGTCAGTGTATATTATCATCAGGCTCTGGTATATATTGGCTGTTGATATTTGTTATGGAGCTCAAGGTCAGTTTTTATTGATTATTGTATATATTTACACAGGTAGAAGTGTAAAAATAGCTAACAAAAATCTATTTTTAGAACAGAGGCCACATTTTAATTATACCAAGAAACATTATTTTACATACAGATAGCTGACCTTTTCCCAGATTGTGTTTTTGTTTTTTAAAGGGAGAAGCTGAATATGAGCTGGCAGTTAAAAAATTTGTAAAGAAATCAACTTGCTCAACTGTGTGTTGTTGATGCCCTAAGCCAGATGATGACGACTTGACTGTTACCACCTCAAGGTAAAGTGGCCTCTTGTAAAATTAATTTCTCATTCAGTAAAGTTTTGCATATTATTTACTTTTAAAATTTAGCAGTGGTTTATCTATCTTTTTTTATATTAGTAATAAAAAAGTCTGTCAGAGAAAAGCATAGACATGGCTAACTGATTAATAAAATTTGTTGAACCTTGTTAACTAACAAAAGATTGATTAAGTACTGTGACAGGGTGGAAGCTGAAAGAAAATGAACTGGAAAATACATAGTGACAGGAAAATCACATTAAAAAATGCTTTCCCCAAATAAAGGAAATATAAAATTTGGTTAAGGTTTATTTGGATAAACATTACTATTGGCTTTTAAATCATACTAGTGTTACTTTCATAATATTTATGCCTGTATAAATCTTCAGTGAATCAAATTACTTGTAGTTATCATGGAATCTCCCTGGTACTTTTCATTGGCAAAACTGTACAGCACATAGCATATACCTTTTTCTGGACACTTATTATTTTGGTATCATATAGTTTTTAGGAGAGATTTTTTTTCTACTTCTATTATTACTTCTGTAGTGAGAATAAAATAATATTAAAATTTGGAGAAAACTAGCTAAGTATGGTCGTGTACACCTGTAGTTTCAGCTACTTGGGGGTTTGAGGCAGGAGGATTGGTTGAGCCCAAGAGTTTGAGAACAGCCTGGGTAACATAACCAGATTGTATCTGCTTTAAAAATATAAACTGTAGAAATGTAGAAATTTAAATTTATGTTACCAAAATTTGTATTACAAATGGACTTTTGTGTGTTTTATGTTGTCCATAAAGGGTATATGTAAAAATTTATCTAATAAATAACATGTATTTTACTGCAAATAACCAGTTATATAAGTGGACTCTTAATAGCACTATGGTAAGACTTTAAACCATAATTTTGTCATTGTAGTTTATTTAAAATATCCACTCAAAGTCTTTATATTACATTTGGAAATTTAAAATTTCAGAATTTTTATATTAGTTGTTTACATAATCACTTGAAGTTCCTGCATATTACAGGCTACTGGAGGTCACAGACATATTTGTGTGTATCCTGGAGTACCTGGAATACAGTTTTCCATGTAAGAAGCATTGTAATTGTTGCTTTTTCGAGATGGAGTTTTACTGTCACCCAGGCTGGAGTGCAGTGGTGGGATATTGGCTCACTGCAGTCTCCACTTCCTGGGCTCAGGTGATCCTCCCACCTTAGCCATCCAAGTAGCTGGGACTGTTAAGACTTTGTCACCATGCTTGAATGAGTTTTGTATTTTTTGTAGAGATGGGGTTTTGCCTGGTTGCCCAGGCTGTCCTTTAACTGTTGGACTCACATGATATGCCTACCTCAGCCTCTCAGAGTGCTGGGGTTACAGGCATTAATTCCAACATTCAGCCTTAATAGTTGTTTAATCTGAATAAATAGATGACTTTTTATATAATGGAATGTTATAAGTAATATATATAATGTATCTATTGATTAAATACTGCAGTTAAAAATATTGCTTACATTTATATTATTTTTTAATGTTTAAGGATGTATAAGTTTTGATGTTATTTTGGGAAATTATGCCATAAATAAAAAGGAAATAAATTAGAAATAGGTCATTAATAGTAAGGAGGGTACAATATATTTTCTAGTATAATTCAACTGGAATGTTAGATTATAATTTTAGACTAAAATTTCTTAAACATTTTATTAGCCCCAACTCATGCTCTAATAAATATGCCTTTATAAGTCATGTATTACTCTTTAGAATTCTGGTGATCAATTCCTCCTCTAGGTGGAAAGTTGATGGAAAGTTCTAGTTTTCCATCTCTAATAATACCAGTCTTTCAGGTAATCGTAGATGACCATGTCTGGCTAATTGAATGTTTTATAGTAATAAAATTTAACTCCGTATCATAGAAATATTTGTAAAAAATGAATTGTAGCATAAGTATTAACCTGTATTGTTAGGGCTATAAAGGAACAAAAGGCTCAGTTACATATCTATTTCTCCATGTACTTTATGGTATGTCATGTTGTTTCTTTTCTCTATTGGCTGAAGCTCATATTAAATTGACTAGTTAGGTTTCTTTGTTGTTTCTCCGTTCATTGTCACATTTTAAAAATGATTTATCCCCATCTAATTTTTTTCTCACAGAACTCATTTCTTTAGTGACTGGTCTTTCAGTCCATCTGTGTTTTTATTGTCAGCATATTTAGTTACAGCTTTCTCTTTAGTTATCTATGTGTGGCTTTCATTTAACAATTACTGCCCACAAGATTTACTTTTTTTTTTTCCTTTTCTTTGGAAGAGCTAAATTTATGCACTTATCTTTATCTTTTTGACAAAATGAACAAAAGCAACAAATACTATTTGCAATGCCATCCCACTTAAATAAGGTATTACTATAAACTAAATTCTCATTTCCCCCTTCAAGAAGCGATGGATGCAAATGATTACCTCCTGCATATGCCCATAATGAATTATTTTCTCATGTTTTTGAGCTCATAATTAATAAAGTATTTATGTGCTAAGTGAATTACTCCTTCATAGTATAATTCTAATTTGCATGATTCATTTAAGAAGGAAGTACAGTATAGTGCCAGAAAAACAAAGTTTAGAATGTGCAAAAAATCACTTTGTGTTCTGAAAGAAAGTTTATCTAAAATCTAAAGAATTATTTCAGGTTAAGCTGTGGCCAAATATATCATTCTGTGATGTATCTGGATGTGCAAAATCATAAGGAGAGTTAGAGAAAAACAGTTTTAATTGTAGTTTTCATTGAAATTGGAATTTGAAAAAATAATGCTGGGATTTTAGTATATTTATGTATTTTGATGTCCAATATAGCTCTACAATGAACATTTTAGGTTAAGAAAAAGACATCTGGAGTAGTAACTATGTGGGAATGCTATAACAATTTAGTGTTGTAGTAAGTAGAAGTCATTTTCAGTAAGAAAACACACTGAGTACTTTTGTGGCAGCCACACTTATAGCAGCAGAAGTATAAAATAATAATGGTGTATTCTAATGCTATGACTGTGAAGAGAAATGGGAGGGGCCTGACTTTTTACTAGAAGCAGCTGGTGCATAGTTTAACAGCACCAGTAGAAGTCAAAAGACATGTTAGTCTCCTGGTTCTGCCACTTCCTAGGTATGGGACATTGAGAAAAATTCTTTATCTGATTGTCATTGACCTCATTCATAAAAATGGTACTAATGGTAACTCTCAGTATGTGTAATGAACAGAAGTAGTGGGAAATGTAAAAACATTTGTAAACTAAAAAATATGTTTACAAATGTGAGACAAAATGATCACAACAGTATTCAGTGACTTAGTAAAACTCGAAGAAAATTTTTGTAAACCTGAAGGATGATAAAATGGCAGTAGCACCAAGAAAAGAATGGGAAAGTAGGAAATGACATGGGGATTTTAAATTTGGGGTTGGCGTGTGTTTAGTTTCAGCAGGCTACTACAACTGAAGATGTCCTGTAGGGACATAGCAGTTCAGCATATGAGACTTTCTGATGAAATTTTAAGTGTTTTGACCTAGAATTTATTTTTGTTTTAGATCATGAACTGTTCTAGTCAGTGAGACACTGAATATACAAGATGACATCTTATGCATTAGTAACAGAAAAAGAAAGAAAGAGCAAATGCTTCTCACTATAAATGCTTTCTATGAGGAAAATAAAAAATGTTAGAAGATATCAAGGAAGTTTGTAGTTAAAATGGGAAAGGGAGAGAAATGGAAATCTGTGGTCAGAGAAGAACTCTCTGAGTATAATATTTAAGCTGCCAACTAAAGGATGAGAAACATCCAGCCATGTGAAAATCTAAAAAAAGGAAATTCTGAATGGAGAGAATAAAGGATCACATCTATTCATTATTTTGCTCTTAACACCCTGGAATGTGCAGAAAGCCATCATCATAATTATTTTTTATGACTACAGTATGTACAACAAATGTGAAATAGAATCCTGGCACATTTTAGATGCTTCCTAAATAAATGTTTTTTTTTTTCCTTTTAAAGAAAGCTTCCTACACTTTTGAAGTTCATTCTTCTCTCTTTTCTTTCTTTTCCTTTCCTTTCCTTTTCTTTTCTTTCTTTACCTTTTCTTTCCTTTTCCTCTTGTCTTTTCTTTTTTGACAGAGTCTCACTTTGTTGCCTATGCTGAAGTGCAGTAGTGCAATTTCAGCTCACTGCAGCCTTGACCTTCCAGAGTAATAAGATCCTTCCTTCTCAGTTTTCTGAGTATCTGAATTTACAGGTATGCACCAGCATGCCCAGCTAATTTATGTTTCTTTTGCACAGATGGTGTTTGACCATTTTTCCCAGGCTGATTTCAAACTCCTGGGCTCAAGTAATCCAACCACCTTGGCCTCCCAAAATCTTAAGATTAAAGGTGTGATCCAATGTCCCTGGCCTGATGGATGCAGATAATCACCATGGCATGTGTATACCTATGTAATACATCTGCATGTTCTGCACCTGTACCCCAGAACTTAAAGTATAATAAAAAGATAAAATAGTTGCACAGTTGATCACATATTTGCTTGCTTTTATTTAAAGATAACATAAAAATTTTATTAGTACATCATTCCATTCAAACTTATTTTTCTGTCAGTAAAGATTTTATTTAAAAAATGTAGGTTTTTTCAAGTCTTTGTTTACCTAAATGAAGCATCTTCTATGGTGTTCTATTGATGCTCAATATGACATATTTCCAAGTTTTCTATCATAAATATCTTAATACTGAAATATTTATATAAGGATATTTAAAATTTTTAATATTGTATTACACCAAGTAATATATATATTTAGATTATATATATTTTATATATGTGCATATATATATATATAAGTATATATGTGTGTGTGTGTATATATATATATATATATATACGTTTTTGAGATGGAGTCTTGCTCTTTCACCCAGGCTAGAGTGCAGTGGTGTGATCTTCACTCACTGCAACCTCCACCTCCTAGGTTTAAGCAATTCTCTTGTCTCATCCTCCCAAGTAGCTGGGACTACAGGTGCGCACTAAAAATCTGGGCCATTTTTTTTCTTTTGGTAGAGACAGGGTATCACCATATTGGTCAGGCTGCTCTCAAACTCCTGACCTCATGTGATCAACCTGCCTTGGCCTGCCAAAGTGCTGAAATTATAAACGTGAGCCAATGCACCTGGCATATATATATATATATATATATATATATATATATATATATATGCACACACACATATATATATATACATACACACACACATATATATTTGAGACAGAGTCTTGCTCTGTCACCATGTGCCAGGCTGGGGTGCAGTGGCATGATCTAGACTCACTGCAACCTCCACCTTCCGGGTTCAAGAAACTATCTTGCCTCAGCCTCCCTAGTAGCTGGGTCTACAGGTGTGCACCACCACAACCAGCTAATTTTTGTATTTTTTAGTAGAGACAGGGTTTCACCATGTTGGCGAGGATTGTCTCTATCTCTCGACCTGGTGATATGCCTGCCTCTGCCTCCAAAAGTGCAGGGATTACAGGCATGAGACACTGTGCTTGGCTGCCAACATGTATTTTTTTTAAATGTTTTCTTATTTTTGGTGGAGATTGCAAAGTAGAGTTAGGTAATTTGAAGTTAGTTCCTGACTGAGATATGCACATGCTAATATTTTGTCTGGGAATATGTTTCCTTTGGGCTGCCATGCTTGGATAAGCAAGTCAATGGACATACGAAGATAACAGATGAGGCAGACCTGGAAAATATAGATGACATTCTTTACTGGAATGCTCAGTACATGCTTCTCCTCTGATTTTTTTTTTTAAGTCAAATTAGTTTTAAAATACTAAATTGAAATTTTGGGGTAGACAGTCTTGCTCTGTTGCCTAGGCTGGGGTGCAGTGGCATGGTTCACTACAGTCTCCACCTCCCAGGCTCAAGTAATTGTCCAGAATTAGCCTCCCAAGTAGCTAGGACTACAGGCATACACCACAATGACAAACTTTTTTTTTTTTTTTTTTTGGTAGAGATAGGTTCTCATTATGTTGCCCAAACTTGTCTTGAACTCCAAGATAAAGCAATCCACCTACCTTGGTTTTGCAAAGGGCTATGATTATAAAAATGAGCCACCAAGCTTGGATAAACTGCAATTTATTTAAGTAAACTGATTAGTGCTGGATTGTGGTAGTGCACATTGGTTATCTCAATACTTTGGGAGGCAGAAGTGAAATGATTACTTAACACCAGGGGTTTGGTCCAGGTATGGTGGCTCATGCCTGTAATCCTAGCACTTGGGAGGCTGAGTGGATCATGAGGTCAAGAAATTGAGACCATCCTGGCCAACATGGGAACACCCCATCTCTACTAAAATACAAAAAAAAAAAAAAAAGAAAAAAAAGAGCTGGGTGTGGTGGCATATAGTGCCTATAGTCCCAGCTACTCAGGAGGCTGAGGCTGGAGAATTGCTTGAACCCAGGAGGCAGAGGTTGCAGTGGGCTGATCATGCCTGGTACCTGGTGACAGAGCGAGACTGTCTCAAAAAACAAACAAAAAAACACCAGGAATTTGGTACCAGCCTGGGCAATATAGTGAGATCTTGTCTCTACAAAAATAACAATTAAAAAGTAGCCTAGCGGCCGGGCGCGGTGGCTCAAGCCTGTAATCCCAGCACTTTGGGAGGCCGAGGCGGGTGGATCACGAGGTCAACAGATCGAGACCATCCTGGTCAACATGGTGAAACCCCGTCTCTACTAAAAATTACAAAAAGTTAGCTGGGCACGGTGGCGCGTGCCTGTAATCCCAGCTACTCAGGAGGCTGAGGCAGGAGAATTGCCTGAACCCAGGGGGCGGAGGTTGCGGTGAGCCGAGATTGCGCCATTGCACTCCAGCCTGGGTAACAAGAGCAAAACTCCGTCTCAAAAAAAAAAAAAAAAAAAAAAAAGTAGCCTAGCATGATGGCACACATCTGTAGTTTCAGCTACTCAGGAAGCTGACATAGGAAGATTGCTTTAGGTCAGGAGGTTGAGACTGCAGTTAGCCATAATGATGCCACTACATTCCAGCCCTCGGTGATAAAGACCCTGTTTTAAAAAAAGAAAAAAAAAATTGATAAGAAAGTCTTTATGAAACTTTATAATTTTTTAAATGGAAACTCATGCTTGATATTACCTCAGCAGTGTGTACTTCAAAACTGTCAGAGCCTTTACCTGGACCTGAAAATGGAAAAACAAAACAAAACAAAGAACACAAAACACAGTGTAGTCAATGTAAAAGAAGGTAAGAATACTATTTTATTTAAAAAGTCATTTGATGGAATTAAAAAAAAAATAAGAGCACTAATATTTTCAAATAGCTAAAGAAAATGTTCTATTAAATGTATAATAAGTAAAGGAGAAGTAAAATGGTGATGTTTTATATCTAATCAAGGGACAGCAGTTGAGTCTATTGAGTACCATTGAAAGAGCTGAATTATTAGTTCCCATTTTAAGATACTCTAAGATATGAGGAAAATCAGGAAAGAGGGAAGAGGAAATGAATAAAAGAAAAAAAGAATGAGGAGGGCAGAGTGTACATGGAATAAATGAAGAAACAGTATGTGGGTGTATGTAAAGGAGGATAGTAAAGTCAAACTGATTTGTAGAATAAGGAAGAGCAGAGTGATAGAAATAGGAAAGAAGGTAATGTCAGCATCCAGCACCAAAATGTGTCAGAGAATTAAAGTAACATCTTCCTGCTCTTGCTGTCATTCTCACTACTGGAGAGGCATTAAGGTTTGAGGTGCCTCACCACACAGATCTGTGTTTTATCTACCACAGATGAGTATCACCTTAAATGGTCAGCCATGTATGGCCATAATTTAGTTTTATAGAAAATGTTATAACTTCATTGGATAGTATCATATAGGCCAAATTAACATAATTGGATAATGTCATGTGATTTATGGAGAGGAGTTAGAGAAGGTATAGCCTGATTAAAAGTGTATTAGAAACATTATGGCTTATAATACAGAATTAAATTCAGGGACTTAATAGGGAAGAAATTGAGGCTAAGTTCCAGATGGGCAATTAGGGTAAATAAATGTGGTAGCACATTAGTGTAGAATAGGGCATCCAAAATTTCATGAATTAGTTGAGGAGCTTCTAAAAAATGAACATTCTCATTCAGCATGTGTGGGATTCTGCCCTTCACAGGAGTACACAGGTGGTATTGGTGCTGTTCCTTGGACACAGCTCTGAATAACAAGGAAATAGCCTTCCTTTAGAGAAATCTGGAAAAAGAACCTTTGGACAGCAGTTTAAAAAAATAACAGAATCAAGGGAAGGCAATAATATCCTTTTATTTCTGAGGCAGGATTCTAGCCACAGAGGAAGCACATTGAGATAAAAACAGAAATTATTGGTGTATACTACTGCTGAATACAGATGGAAAAAGAGGCTGCAATTATCCATACAAAGCAGTTAGGAAGAGAAGCTTCAGGATGACAGATATAAAGATTACTTTTGCAAAAAAAGAGGGATTGTGAAAGGGCAAGGAAAGAGAAAGAAAAAAAAGTTAGCTGGGGAACTTTGGAGTCAAAACCAAGGAAGCCTGAGACACCTCACTTCCAGTTCCTTGGACACATACCCAGTCTAGCAACAACAGTTATTGCTGTGGAGAGTACTGGAGGCAGGAGGGAGTGCTAGAATTGGGGTAAACCACAAGAGCTAATTTTTCTTCATAACTGTCAGGCCTCACAGCAAGAAGTTTCATTGATATGAGTGAGTAAGATGTGATTAAGTTATATTTTGGTTAATTTGGGGGGTGGGTCAGCCAGTTCTTTGATACAATAGCTGTTTCATAAGTCATTTACAGAGTAAGATGACATGCCAAACTTAGCTAATTTTAGAAGCAGTCATATTATAAAATTTATTCTGTGAGTACCAAAATTGTCATTTTCTAAGAACACTGCACTGATCTTGAAATATATGTTTATTCTTTTCTATCAAAGCTGTGGAAATTCAATGTTTTCTCTTTTGATAAGTATTTTGATATTGAAAGCTTACTCTGTACGGTTTATTTGATGTGTTTTAAGTCTTGCAAGAGTGGATCAAGAAACTCCTACGAAAAGATCAAACAAGAGGATATGAGAAATGTAGGTGCTTCAGTAGCCATGTGGGCATGGGAAAATGAGAATTTTGAGAAACTATTATTTCATAAGTGTGTATCATAGCTGATCAATTTAGAACACGTTCTTTTTTTTATTGCATTTTAGGTCTTGGGGTACATGTGCAGAACATACAAGATAGTTGCATAGGTACACACGTGGCAGTGTGATTTGCTGTCTTCCTCCCCTTCACCCACATCCGGCATTTCTCCCCATACTATCCTCCCCAGCTCTCCCCCCGCTGTCCCTCACCTATTTCCCCCAATAGACCCCAGTGTGTAGTGCTCCCCTCCCTGTGTCCATGTGTTCTCATTGTTCATCACCCGCCTATGAGTGAGACTATGCAGTATTTCATTTTCTGTTCTTGTGTCAGTTTGCTGAGAATGATGTTCTCCAGATTCATTCATGTCCCTACAAAGGACATAAACTCATCGTTTTTGATTGCTGCATAATATTCCATGGTGTATATGTGCCACATTTTCCCTGTCCAGTCTATCATTGATGGGCATTTGGGTTGGTTCCAGGTCTTTGCTATTGTAAACAGTGCTGCAATGAACATTCATGTGCATATGTCCTCATAGGGAACAATTTATAGTCCTTTGGATATATACCCACTAATGGGATTGCTGGGTCAAATGGAATTTCTATTTCTAGGTCCTTGAGGAATCGCCACACTGTATTCCACAATGGTTGAACTAATTTACTCTCCCACCAGCAGTGTAAAAGTGTTCCTATTTCTCCACATCCTCTCCAGCATCTGTTGTCTCCACATTTCATAATGATAGCCATTCTAACTAGCGTGAGATGGTAGCTCAATGTAGTTTTGATTTGCATTTCTCTGAAGATCAGTGTTGATGAGCATTTTTTCATATGTTTGCTTGCCTCATGTATGTCTTCTTTTGTAAAGTGTCGGTTCATATTCTTTACCCATTTTTGAATGGGCTTGTTTTTTTTTTTTTTTTGTAAATCTGTTTGAGTTCTCTGTAAATTCTGGATATCAACCCTTTGTCAGATGGGTAAACTGCAAAAATTTTTTCCCATTCTGTTGGTTGCCGATTCACTCTAGTCAGTTTCTTTTGCTGTGCAGAAGCTGTGAAGTTTGATTAGGTCCCATTTGTCTATTTTGGCTTTTGCTGCCAATGCTTTTGGTGTTTTGGTCATGAAGTCCTTGCCTCCTCCTATGTCCTGAATGGTTTTGCCTAGATTTTCTTCTAGGGTTTTTATGATGCCAGGTCTTATGTTTAAGTGTTTAATCCATCTGGAGTTAATTTCAGTGTAAGGTGTCAGGAAGGGGTCCAGTTTCTGCTTTCTGCACATGGCTAGCCAGTTTTCCCAACACCATTTATTAAACAGGGAATCCTTTCCCCATTGCTTGTTTTTGTCAGGTTATTCCAAGATTGTATGGTTGTAGATATGTTGTGTTGCCTCCAATGCCTCTGTTTTGTTCCATTGGTCTATATCTCTGTTTTGGTACCAGTACCATGCTGTTTTGATTACTGTAGCCTTGTACTATAGTTTGAAGTCTGGTAGTGTGAATGCCTCCTCCTGTGTTCTTTTTGCTTACAATTGACCTGGCTATGTGAGCTCTCTTTTGGTTCCATATGAAGTTCAAGGTGGTTTGTTCAAGTTCTGTGAAGAAAGTCAATGGTAGCTTGATGGGGATAGCGTTGAGTCTGTAAATTACTTTGGGGAGTATGGCCATTTTCACGATATTGATTCTTCCTAACCATGAACATGGAATGTTTCTCCATCTGTTTGTGTCCTCTCTGATTTCGTTGAGCAGTGGTTTGTAGTTCTCCTTGAAGAGGTCCTTTACGTTCCTTGTTAGTTGTATTCCTGTTATTGGTGCATAGGAATGCTTGTGATTTTTGCACATTGAGTTTGTATCCTGAGACTTTGCTGAAGTTGCTTGTTAGTTTCAGGAATTTTTGGGCTGAGACAATGGGGTCTTCCAGATATATGATCATGTCATCTGCAAAGAGAGAAAATTTGGCTTCCTCCTTTCCTTTTTGAATACACTTTATTTCTTTTTCTTGTCTTACTGCTCTGGCTAGAACTTCCAGTCCTATATTGAATAGGAGTGGTAAGAGAGGGCATGCTTGTCTAGTGCCAGATTTCCAAGGGAATGCTTCCAGTTTTTTCCCATTCAGTATGATATTGGCTGTTGGTTTGTCGTAAATAGCTTTTATTATTTTGAGATACATTCCATCGATACCGAGCTTATTGAGGGTTTTTAGCATAAAGGGCTGTTGAATTTTGTCAAAGGCCTTCTCTGCATCGATTGAGATAATCATGTGGTTTTTGTTTTTGGTTCTGTTTATGTGGTGAATTACGTATATAGACTTGTGTATGTTGAACCAGCCTTGCATCCCCGGGATAAATCCTACTTAATCATGGTAAATAAGCTTTTTGATGTGCTGTTGCAATCGGCTTCCCAGTATTTTATTGAAAATTTTTGCATCTATGTTCATTATGGATATTGGCCTGAAGTGTTCTTTTCTTGTTGAGTCTCTGCTGGGTTTTGGCATCAGGATGATGTTGGTCTTGGAAAATGATTTGGGAAGGATTCCCGATTTTTGGATTATTTGGAATAGTGTCAGGAGGAATGGTAATAGTTCCTCTTTGTCTGGTAGAATTCTGCTGTGAACCTATCTGGACCTTAGCTTTTTTATTGGTTTAGTATGCTCTTAATTTCTGCCTCAACTTCAGATCTTGTTATTGGTCTATTCATAGTTTTGACTTCTTCCTGGTTCAGGCTTGGGAGGTCACAAGTGTCCAGGAATTTATCCATTTCTTCCAGGTTTACTAGTTTATGTGCATAGAGTTTGTAATATTCTCTGATGATGGTTTAAATTTCTGTGGCATCTGTGGTGATTTCCCCTTTATCATTTTTTATTGCATCTATTTGGTTATTCTCTCTTTTCTTTTTTATCAATCTGGCTAGTGGTCTATTTTGTTGATCTTTTCAAAAAACCAGCTCTTGGATTTATTGATTTTTTTGAAGGGTTTTTTTTTGTGTCTATCTCCTTCAGTTTTGCTCTGATCTTAGTCATTTCTTGTCTTCTGCTG